CCACTGGTGGCCCAGCAGACACCCCTGTCCCCTCCTGTCCCCCCCTCCCCAAGCTGTGCCCAGGCAGGGAGAACCTGGTGGGTTTTTGGATTTTTTTTTTTTCCTCATTAGGAGCTTAATGAGGAGCCCCAGCAAGATAACGAGCCGTGATTAGCAGGGAGGAGAAGGGATTTTGTGGCGTGGGGGGGAGCTCAGACCCTGCCCTTCATAAAGGGCGACTCAGTGGGATTTATTTGGGGATAAAGTGCTCATTTAGAAGCAGGAGCTGGTGGAGGGGGAGCAAAATGTTGCTCTGTTCAGCCCGGGAAGAAATCGCCTTTTTTTTGTGGGGGGAGTTGTGTGATGGGTTGGGGCTGGTTTTTTTTTTGGGGTTTGTTTTTTTTTCTTTTTTTTTTTTTTCCCTTCCTTGAATAAACTTCTTTCTCCCCGGGCGAGCTCCTGGCAGCCAGGGGCAGACAACGATGCGCTGTGTCGGGGCTGCTGCCAGGAAACTCCACGCTTGCAGCCTGATGAAAAACCCTCTTGTGCAGCTTGGAGGGGGTGGGGAGGGGGGGGGTCACATAGGAAACCCTCCCACCCCACTCCTGCCCCTTGGATGTGTTAAATCTCGTAGTTCATTAACGAACATCGTAGGTGCCTGGTCATGCCGGGATCTGCAGAGGCAGAAATGGACTTGATGGTTGGTGGTGGGGAGTGAAGCCCTGGAGATAATTCCTTGGGGGGGGGAAGGGGGTGAAGATGAGGAAAAACTACTTGGAGTCATGGAAGAGGTTGCCCAGAGAAGCTGTGGGTTGCTGCTTCCCCACGGGGGGGGAGGGTTTGCTGGGGGTTTTTTGCCCCCTCCCTGTGTTGCTGGGGGGAAGGCGCTCGCGATACCTCCAGAAGATGAGACTGGTGGATAATGGTGTGTTCTTCTCTCCACTTTTCTTTATTTTTTTGCAGGAAGAAGTTCTCCTGGAGCGTTCAGATGACGGTGTTCGCCATGATCCTCGGTGCCTTTGTGGCTGCCAGGTGAGCCCCCCCCCTGCTGTCCCCCCTCCCCTCTCACAGGGGTCCCCAATAAGGTCAGACAAGCCCCACGGCGTGTCCTGAGAAAACAGAGAGAGAAAATACTGACTTTTTCCCCCCCCAGCCACATTCTCCAGTAGGAAAGAATGTCTTACCGGCCCAATCCCAGTCCCTCCTCCCATGATTTAACTTTTTCTGACGACTTTCTGCCTAAACGGAAGGTGGAAGGAATCTCTGGGCAGCTCAAAGCTTTTTTTTAACTTACGGTGTTGGGTTATTTTTATAATTTTTTTTATTTTTTCCCCCTTTCCCAGCGCTGACTTGGCGTTCGACCTGGAGGGGTATATTTTTATCCTCATTAACGATGCCTTAACGGCCGCGAACGGTGCCTACGTGAAGCAGAAGCTGGATTCTAAGGTAAGGCTGAGCACCAGCATCCTTCTGGGCATCCGAGGGGGCAAAACAGGGAGATATTTATATACAAAATTATATATATCTCTATAAAATTAGAAAAATATATACATTTTCATATATATACATTTAAAAAAGCCTCAAACCTTCCAACTCTTCAACCCCCGGTGGATTTAGCTCCCAAGACCCCGTCCTCCATAACAAGACTGAGGATGTTTCTCCCGAATTTTTCCCCTTTATCCCAAAGGTTTTATGTTTCCCGTTTGGAAATCTACAGATGGGTTTCTTATTTTCCAGGAGCTGGGAAAATATGGTTTGCTTTATTACAATGCCCTGTTCATGATCCTGCCCACCTTGACCATCGCCTACTTCACCGGCGACGCGCAGAAGGTAGGGTCCCCACACCCCCCCCAAAAAAACCCATATTTTTTTAGGGGCACGGTGCCTCGTGGATGAAATGGGTTGCGTTTTCCTGTTATAATGCACTTTTCTGTAACTTGGCTTTCTTGGGCAAGATGGGAAACGCTCAAAACGTGCAATTAAAGTAGTTCATTATCCCTAATTTGCAAACCAGGGAGGGGGCTGGGGTGAAGGATGGGGTGAGGCTGGGTTTTGGGGTAGAAAGGAGCGGAAAGTAACCGTCAGTCTTACAGTGGGCTCTCAAATCCCCAGGATTGCTCCATTTTTTGGTAAGGCTTGAGGAATGGGGAAGTGCGAGAGCAATAACTGAAACCAAGCATTACTTAAAACAAAGGAGCGGAGTATTTTTAGAATAAATTAGGCTTCTTCAGGCTGCTTTTTGTCCCTCCCGCGGGGCAGCGGTTGGGCTGAATGGCTCTGGAGGTCACTTTGTCCCCAAAGCCCCGTCAGGGCACCCTCTGATTTGCATCTGGCTCTGTAAACTTTAAATTTATATTGTAGTATTATTATTATTTATTATTATTACACTCACTTATGTGCAGCTCCGTACTCCATGGACTCATTTCTCATCCCTCTCCACGGGCGGGGAGGCAAATGCTGGAGGTGTTGCCCACCCCAGTGGGTGGCCACTGGTGGCCCAGCAGACACCCCTGTCCCCTCCTGTCCCCCCCTCCCCAAGCTGTGCCCAGGCAGGGAGAACCTGGTGGGTTTTTGGATTTTTTTTTTTTCCTCATTAGGAGCTTAATGAGGAGCCCCAGCAAGATAACGAGCCGTGATTAGCAGGGAGGAGAAGGGATTTTGTGGCGTGGGGGGGAGCTCAGACCCTGCCCTTCATAAAGGGCGACTCAGTGGGATTTATTTGGGGATAAAGTGCTCATTTAGAAGCAGGAGCTGGTGGAGGGGGAGCAAAATGTTGCTCTGTTCAGCCCGGGAAGAAATCGCCTTTTTTTTGTGGGGGGAGTTGTGTGATGGGTTGGGGCTGGTTTTTTTTTTGGGGTTTGTTTTTTTTTCTTCTTTTTTTTTTTCCCTTCCTTGAATAAACTTCTTTCTCCCCGGGCGAGCTCCTGGCAGCCAGGGGCAGACAACGATGCGCTGTGTCGGGGCTGCTGCCAGGAAACTCCACGCTTGCAGCCTGATGAAAAACCCTCTTGTGCAGCGTGGAGGGGGTGGGGAGGGAGGGGGTCACATAGGAAACCCTCCCACCCCACTCCTGCCCCTTGGATGTGTTAAATCTCGTAGTTCATTAACGAACATCGTAGGTGCCTGGTCATGCCGGGATCTGCAGAGGCAGAAATGGACTTGATGGTTGGTGGTGGGGAGTGAAGCCCTGGAGATAATTCCTTGGGGGGGGGAAGGGGGTGAAGATGAGGAAAAACTACTTGGAGTCATGGAAGAGGTTGCCCAGAGAAGCTGTGGGGTCTCCCTCTCTGGAGATGTTCGTAACCCACCTGGATGTGGCCCTGCCCGACCTGCTCTGGTCCTGAGAAAATAAAGAGAGAGAGAAAATACTGACTTTCCCCCCCCAGCCACATTCTCCAGTAGGAAAGAATGTCTTACCGGCCCAATCCCAGTCCCTCCTCCCATGATTTAACTTTTTCTGATGACTTTCTGCCTAAACGGAAGGTGGAAGGAATCTCTGGGCAGCTCAAAGCTTTTTTTTAACTTACGGTGTTGGGTTATTTTTATAATTTTTTTTTATTTTTTTCCCCCTTTCCCAGCGCTGACTTGGCGTTCGACCTGGAGGGGTATATTTTTATCCTCATTAACGATGCCTTAACGGCCGCGAACGGTGCCTACGTGAAGCAGAAGCTGGATTCTAAGGTAAGGCTGAGCACCAGCATCCTTCTGGGCATCCGAGGGGGCAAAACAGGGAGATATTTATATACAAAATTATATATATCTCTATAAAATTAGAAAAATATATACATTTTCATATATATACATTTAAAAAAGCCTCAAACCTTCCAACTCTTCAACCCCCGGTGGATTTAGCTCCCAAGACCCCGTCCTCCATAACAAGACTGAGGATGTTTCTCCCGAATTTTTCCCCTTTATCCCAAAGGTTTTATGTTTCCCGTTTGGAAATCTACAGATGGGTTTCTTATTTTCCAGGAGCTGGGAAAATATGGTTTGCTTTATTACAATGCCCTGTTCATGATCCTGCCCACCTTGACCATCGCCTACTTCACCGGCGACGCGCAGAAGGTAGGGTCCCCACACCCCCCCCAAAAAAACCCATATTTTTTTAGGGGCACGGTGCCTCGTGGATGAAATGGGTTGCGTTTTCCTGTTATAATGCACTTTTCTGTAACTTGGCTTTCTTGGGCAAGATGGGAAACGCTCAAAACGTGCAATTAAAGTAGTTCATTATCCCTAATTTGCAAACCAGGGAGGGGGCTGGGGTGAAGGATGGGGTGAGGCTGGGTTTTGGGGTAGAAAGGAGCGGAAAGTAACCGTCAGTCTTACAGTGGGCTCTCAAATCCCCAGGATTGCTCCATTTTTTGGTAAGGCTTGAGGAATGGGGAAGTGCGAGAGCAATAACTGAAACCAAGCATTACTTAAAACAAAGGAGCGGAGTATTTTTAGAATAAATTAGGCTTCTTCAGGCTGCTTTTTGTCCCTCCCGCGGGGCAGCGGTTGGGCTGAATGGCTCTGGAGGTCACTTTGTCCCCAAAGCCCCGTCAGGGCACCCTCTGATTTGCATCTGGCTCTGTAAACTTTAAATTTATATTGTAGTATTATTATTATTTATTATTATTACACTCACTTATGTGCAGCTCCGTACTCCATGGACTCATTTCTCATCCCTCTCCACGGGCGGGGAGGCAAATGCTGGAGGTGTTGCCCACCCCAGTGGGTGGCCACTGGTGGCCCAGCAGACACCCCTGTCCCCTCCTGTCCCCCCCTCCCCAAGCTGTGCCCAGGCAGGGAGAACCTGGTGGGTTTTTGGATTTTTTTTTTTTCCTCATTAGGAGCTTAATGAGGAGCCCCAGCAAGATAACGAGCCGTGATTAGCAGGGAGGAGAAGGGATTTTGTGGCGTGGGGGGGAGCTCAGACCCTGCCCTTCATAAAGGGCGACTCAGTGGGATTTATTTGGGGATAAAGTGCTCATTTAGAAGCAGGAGCTGGTGGAGGGGGAGCAAAATGTTGCTCTGTTCAGCCCGGGAAGAAATCGCCTTTTTTTTGTGGGGGGAGTTGTGTGATGGGTTGGGGCTGGTTTTTTTTTTGGGGTTTGTTTTTTTTTCTTCTTTTTTTTTTTCCCTTCCTTGAATAAACTTCTTTCTCCCCGGGCGAGCTCCTGGCAGCCAGGGGCAGACAACGATGCGCTGTGTCGGGGCTGCTGCCAGGAAACTCCACGCTTGCAGCCTGATGAAAAACCCTCTTGTGCAGCGTGGAGGGGGTGGGGAGGGAGGGGGTCACATAGGAAACCCTCCCACCCCACTCCTGCCCCTTGGATGTGTTAAATCTCGTAGTTCATTAACGAACATCGTAGGTGCCTGGTCATGCCGGGATCTGCAGAGGCAGAAATGGACTTGATGGTTGGTGGTGGGGAGTGAAGCCCTGGAGATAATTCCTTGGGGGGGGGAAGGGGGTGAAGATGAGGAAAAACTACTTGGAGTCATGGAAGAGGTTGCCCAGAGAAGCTGTGGGGTCTCCCTCTCTGGAGATGTTCGTAACCCACCTGGATGTGGCCCTGCCCGACCTGCTCTGGGTGACCCTGCTTTGGGAGATGATCTCCAAAGGTCCTTTCCACCCCCCACCATTCTGTGACCTCCTCCAGGAGGGTCCCCCCCAGGCTGGCAGTTGGTGTCCCAGCTGCCAGGGAGTGTCCCCCTGCACTTGGCAGCCCTTCTGGTCCCTGCTGGGTCTGGAGGGGAGGTGGGGGAGACCAGCCATCACCCTGTCCTGCCCTCACCTCCTCACTGCACCACAGACTGCCTGGGGCTGGTGGGGACCTCTGGAGCTCCTCTGGTCCAGTCCCCCAGAGCAGGTGGCCCAGGACCATGTCCAGACAGGTTCTGGATATCTCCAAGGGTGGAGACAGCAGCTGGCTGGGAAATGCCTGCTCTGGTTCTTCCCACTTACAGAATCACAGAATGGTTTGGGTGGGAAGGGACCTCAAAGCCCCCCCAGTGCCACCCCCTGGCCCTGGGCAGGGACACCTCCCACCACACCGGGTTGCTCCAAGCCCCCTCCAACCTGGCCTTGAACCCCTCCAGGGATGGGGCAGCCACAGCTTCTCTGGCCAACCTGGGCCAGGCTCTCACCACCCTCCCACCAAACAAGTTCTTCCCCACATCTCAGCTCCATCTCCCCTCTTGCAGGGTCCAACCCTTCCCCTCCTCTTAGGGCTCCCCTCCCTCATCCAGAGTCCCTCCCCAGCTTTCCTGGAGCCCCCCTTCTTGAGGGACTGGCAGGGGCTGGAAGCCCCCCCCAAAAAAACCCATATTTTTTTAGGGGCACGGTGCCTCGTGGATGAAATGGGTTGCGTTTTCCTGTTATAATGCACTTTTCTGTAACTTGGCTTTCTTGGGCAAGATGGGAAACGCTCAAAACGTGCAATTAAAGTAGTTCATTATCCCTAATTTGCAAACCAGGGAGGGGGCTGGGGTGAAGGATGGGGTGAGGCTGGGTTTTGGGGTAGAAAGGAGCGGAAAGTAACCGTCAGTCTTACAGTGGGCTCTCAAATCCCCAGGATTGCTCCATTTTTTGGTAAGGCTTGAGGAATGGGGAAGTGCGAGAGCAATAACTGAAACCAAGCATTACTTAAAACAAAGGAGCGGAGTATTTTTAGAATAAATTAGGCTTCTTCAGGCTGCTTTTTGTCCCTCCCGCGGGGCAGCGGTTGGGCTGAATGGCTCTGGAGGTCACTTTGTCCCCAAAGCCCCGTCAGGGCACCCTCTGATTTGCATCTGGCTCTGTAAACTTTAAATTTATATTGTAGTATTATTATTATTTATTATTATTACACTCACTTATGTGCAGCTCCGTACTCCATGGACTCATTTCTCATCCCTCTCCACGGGCGGGGAGGCAAATGCTGGAGGTGTTGCCCACCCCAGTGGGTGGCCACTGGTGGCCCAGCAGACACCCCTGTCCCCTCCTGTCCCCCCCTCCCCAAGCTGTG